AGCGGTACACCGCGTATTCTTTTAACTCAACTGTTCTCTTATCTCACCTAACCTGTCCCTTCTCCGTTATTCACCAACACGTGAAGGAATCTGCAATAGCTTGATTCCTGTGATAAATGCTAACTACAGTTCGCAGTGATATAAAATAATATCATAACATTTTGCATCCGTTAATCATTGTTTTGTAGTTGCTTTCTAGCGGAACTAATCTGGAAGAATGGAACTACCTTAGTGCATACGCTGCCGTTGGACACGTACACTGAATTTGTGGTTCACTCCTCTTTTTGATGCGATATGCATCACCACCCCCTTTTACGTAATCAGAAACTGCCTGACCAAAGTGGTAATTTCCAGCGTTCATTAAAATTCTTCTTCCCTCATCCCAAGTCGTTACATGTGCAGCGGATCCGGTTGTTTGTTCAGGTGATTATTTTCACAACTTCACCAGTGTTTGATTGGCTGGCACTCTTTTCTCCCGCTTAACACCACTAAAGTTAGGATTGTTCTATTGGTTTAAAAGTAGCGACGCCTAATCACCTGGAGCTTTTTCACAGTATCACGTGCTTATCGGCCGCTTAGATGCAGTCTGACTCGTCAATGTTTTGTTGTTTTCTTTCCCCGGGGGTCAGCGTAGCATCTAATTTTTTGTCCACGTAGATGTTCATGTGGATGGATTTTGCCACCAGCTATTGTCTACCAGTATCTCTGCATGTATCGATTGTCTGACTACCGATTCACATGCCGAGCAGTTAAATGCTAGTTGTGATTGTGTTTGTTCCGGTGACTGTTATTCACTGATTCTCTCTCTCTGGTGTTGTTTCATCATCTAACTCACTTTCTCGATCCGCGTGGGAAAGTTTTTCCTCAGTCGCACTTTCACTCGTTTATCGCTTCCTCGATTTTCTAGCAGGGTGAACTCCAAACGCACGATCGTATTCTTGCCGTGAATGGGACTGTCCCGGAGGATTATGACAGCACATTGCATTTATTGAAACAATCCGACACCAAAGTCCGTTTGACCGTGGGTCGCCAAATGCATGCATCAGACACAGGACATCCATCCGCTCCCGTGGCCAGTTCATCTCCGACTCCAAATGCCCCGGGAACAGCCGCACTACCTCCTTTGCCTCAGTCAATTATCCCCGGTGTGAAGACTTTAGTTGAGTTACGACGTGAACCGAACACCACGTTCGGTTTTTCTGTGGTCGGAGGAAAAGATACAATGCTTGTAAGTATTGTGCAGTTTTGGTTCCTGCTTTGTAGCGATTCGTTTCTGGTGCACGTTAGTCTGTTGATCATCAGTCAGGTAACCTCGCTGTTCATTTGTCAGAACCAACGATCGTAGACCTACGATCCATAGTAGTGAATCTCATATGGCTCTGATAGGATAAGCATAGTGTGAAACCTTATGAGAACGAACCGATCACCAAAGCTCGGTGCACTATCAGGATTTGAACCCAGAGCCCGCCCCCTCCCCCCCCCCNTGGGTGAGGGGGGGGACGTTATCGACAATGACTTACCTTGTGAACACCCACTGAATGCATAACCTTCTGGTGATTCAAAACGAATCATTTAAGTTGAGGGTGTTATATTATTTGGGCATGGGCATTTCCGTAATTGGAGTTATCGTGTCGACGCTGCGACACTCGAACTTTCCCATGCCACATTCATCATTCGTTCATAACAAAATAAGCTGCAGGAAAACACTCAGTTCCAGAGTTCAAGTCACACAAAGTGCACCAATTAAATATGCTTTTGTGGGAAATGAATGTACAGTGGGCCTGCTTGTGAGGGAAAGTAAGCTGGTGTCGACAACGGACTGCCTGTAAGGGCTAATTAACTAACTAACGCATGCACCTCTTCAAACAACCCGGTTTGATAAGAAATGGCAATAATAATGCCACCGCACTCGGTTCGCTATCATTTTTTTCGCTGTCCTTCATCAACACACCCCACGAGTTTCAGTTTACACAACCAATAATGATGCACTTTCCTGTGCCGGTTTTGGTTGCTTTCTGTTTTTAGATGAACGGTAGGGGAAAGAAGGTTGAAGGTAGAGTCGAAGAAAAAATTGAGAACTCCAATAAACTATGACTGCAAAGAAATTGATAGGATGCATGAACGCCATTGTTTACGATACTCAGTCATGTCACTCGGTGTCTCCAACCACCGGTTATGATCATCCCGAGGTCCCCAGCTAGGAAGCCTAACGGGACCTATGGGGGCGAATCTCTTGACTAGGGTTTTCATACGCTCCTGTCAGGTCTTCGTTTGACCGCCCTTGACCTTTTTCCATCCATTACCTGCCTCGGCAAGTTGGTAGATGCCAACCAAGCCTTCTGTATGCGAGCTAATACTTCATCCGTCGTGCGTCCGCCGCACGTGAGACCCCGAGTTGACCTAATCTCTTCGTCCAATTCTTCATACTTAGTGTCTAGGTTACATGTTGACCTTCACGTGGTTTCTGCCACCTCATGTTAGCTACAGCAGACAGGGCACAACGCCGCATAAAATGTTTGGATGTCAATTCCGTGGAAATGATCAGTTGTGTTACGTTTCTGTTCATCGCATCTTCTGTCCTCGTCATTTTTTCACGTGTTTGTTTTTCATTTCACCCGTGCAAATGTTCTTGTTCATCTCTAGATGGTTAACTGATCAGTCCCCGTCTTTCTCTGTTGTGAGTCACACTCGCAGTGTTCGTGTTACTGAGGTCCGGTTCGCGTGGTTTGTTTGTTCAACCCGCTTCGCATCATCTGGAACTCAGGATAAATTTCTCTCTCTCTGTCTCTGTTCATCCTCCTCATTCTCGCCCTCTCCTCCCAAAGGGCGACATTCTTATTCATGAAGTTCATACAAACGGTGTAGCCGCACGGGACGGCCGACTCTGTACCGGGGATCGTTTGCTCGCTGTGAACGGTGTGAGTCTAGTGGAAGCAGATCATACTACCGCTTTACAGGTTAGTTCCTCAATCTGACAACCCGTTCGTCTCGCGCGCGCGCGCTATCTAACTTGTCCTGTTCTCTCTGTGATTTCATCTTACCTTCGTTCTCTCTCTCTCTCTCGCTCCCTGTTTCACCCGCGTGTCGTCAATTGGATCAGGCTATACGTACTGCTGGTGATTGTCTGCAGCTATTGGTCTATCGTG